AAGTATTCGCTTGCGTGATTTATGCGCGCCCTCTGTCGTAGTTTTTCGCTATTCTACTTACGACTGGTTTGACTCTGCACTACCATGTGCACTACCACGGGTTAATAGAGTAGCTACTTACCTAGGAGTCGGTGCAGTAGCGGTTCAAAAGTAGCGATTGACTCCAGCAGTACTGGAGGGTATTTATAGCGCCCCTTAGTAACTCCCGGTAGTGCAGAGAGAGCCGATGGTGACTACCGCCTAGGACATTGCCTTGTAAAAGTAATCGATGAATTACACTGCAAGTAGTCGGTCGGTAATTGACAGTGTTTTCAGGTAGCTACCGATTCAGCAGTCGCTCCCCCGTACTGCAGGGTACATACATACATGCATACGAGACGATAAATTACCCTTTACCACATTCGTCGTGATTTCAGCAACAAGTCAAATGGCTTTCAGCCAGTGTTGCCGCCGCTCAAAGAACTTTCTAACCAAGATTAGACGAAAAATTTGCCAAATGTAAGGAAAAATAACCAATTTTTTTATTAGATTCACAATTCAGGTCATCACAAATTCTTTTACATAGTACGTATAGACAAATTTTAGAAACCAAAGAAAATCAATTTTTATTTGCATTTTTGAAAAGTAAATACTTTTAAGGCTGAAAATAAATGAAATGCATTCATATATAAGTATATGTGACCTGGTCTACGAAAAGGGAGCTTACGTGCGAAAACTAGTTTTCTGTGAAAAAGCTGTTAAAAGTAAGCAACTCGTTTCGTCAGTTTCTCATTATCTCGTTAATTGTTCTCCGCGCCGGACGTCCAGTAAGTGTTGTTGTTGGTCGGAATATTATTATAGTTCATCGTGTAAGTTGCTAGTGTGGAACATTTAAAAAAGTAACACTGAAGAAGTGACGTTTACTGTTTCTGTTGATTATCGTCTTCGCATTTCGCATGAAATGAAACATGAGTGTTGATGAGGAGTTCAGTGCCGTATACGGACAATATTTCCATGAAAAGGATGATGTAAACGATGATGAAAACTATGAAGATAACGATGATGATGAAGACGAAGTATGTGTATCTCAGGCAGAAGATGATACCGAACAAACTTTTGTTAAGATGGACCTGTATGTTGTTGATGTAAAGGAGGAGGAGCTGGTAACAAAATTTCTGTCAAAAGATTGTTGTAATAATGAATGCCATACACTGATACCACGGGAAATGATCGAGAGTACGCGGAACAATTGTTTAGAGATGTCGAAAAATGAACTTGATTTAGTGATACTAAGTCACATCGAAGCTGGAATTATGAGTAACGAAAAGCTAGAAAGTGTATACGCAAAGCTTGCTGGGCGGAAGAAATATGGACAGAGACAGGATACAGAAGTTATGAGGCATAGAATTCAATTTACCTTCTACAGAGTACCTGTTTGTCGTTCGTTTTTCCTTTTTGTACATGCCTGTACGACGAAACGTTACAAAAATTTAGTAACAGTGCGCCAACACGGACTGGCAAATAAACCGAGTACACATCCAAAGTCATTTAAACCGGCTGACATCGAAAAAGCTGTTAAATTCATCGAGTCTATAGCCGATTTAATGGCTCTTCCACTGCCCGGACGACTCCCAAAATTTAAGGATTTTCGGATAATGAAACTGCCATCCAGCGAGACGAAGTCCTCAATTTATCGAAAATACATTTCTTCACTCAGTTATGACGAATACATACCCCATGTTACAGTTATGAAACCAGCGGATGATCTCTGCGATGTCTGCCGTGGTAAGTAGCTCATTATTTTCTCATTTTATAGTTGTATCAAACGTTGAGATTAAATTCAGTATTTTTTCTTTTAATAGGAAACACAATATCGATTGCGCAAGCCAAAGGTGTTACTGACATTGAACGCGCACAGAAGCTTAATCAATTTCTTGATCACCTCCACCGAGCCCGAAATCAACGAGAATATTATCAAAGTTGGTGTAGAAATACTGACCCTACAGCAGTCGTTCTGTCATTTGATTTTGCCCAAACCGTTCACTACCCTGTCAGTCCACAACAACCTGGTACAGCATACTTCAAAGCAACCAAGAAGTGCGGAGTCTTCGGAATTACAGACGAAAAACAAAAAGTTCAGGTTAGAATTTCAAACTGAATCATAGGAACTCAAATTGCTCGCCTTTACAGGATCTTACTTATATTTTTTTTTTTACAGTACAATTACATGATAGACGAAAAAGATGACGTTGGTAAAGGACCTAACTGTGTTGTGAGCATCCTGCATTATCACCTGCAAACCTTCTATAAAGACATTGAAACACTCGTTCTTTTC